ATTTTACAGCTATCATAATATCTCTCTCAGTCTCTGCTGCATTAGGCTTCTTATCCCAGTCATGAATCACATGTGGGATAAGGTTAAGGCAGACAGCCTGGTAATTTGTCCTAGGATCAGATGTTCCATCAGGTTACTTTTATTCAACCCATGACAAAGGGTCTTAGTGCATGAGAAGTTTTTGCCGTATTTTGCCTGTCTCCCCTGGTGGGAGGATGATGCTCTGCTCCTTAGTCTGACACACAGAAACAGGACAGCAAATTCTGACTGAAACTCATCTGTAGTGTGGAGTCCCCTAGAGAAAGCAACAGCAAGCCTCTCCCAAGGATCCATGTGAGCGGATTGAGAAGCTGGAAAAGAGTAGCCTGAATTCATTCGATAGATGAGCTTGTTATAGGGTGTGCTCTCTGTATTGCCATAATACAATGTAATCTTTTTCCCTCCCAAGTACTTTACACATTTAAATAAACCATTGTTTGTTTTTTTTTAACCTACATATCTATGTCTGACATTATGCAGATTCCTTGTTGCTTTATCTGTGTCACACTCGAGAGACGCTCTACTGCTCCTGTCTGTTTGCACATGACTCTCACCTGGGACTCTTCAGGCACACTGAAATGCAGAATTAGCACAAAATTCAATTACTACATGAATAACAACTTTTTTTCAGTTTTTTTTTTTTTTTTAACCCTAATACATCCAGTGCTACTATTGTTGTGCATGATCCATTGCAATGAAATGTACAGGGGAGTTCTCTCCCACTTGTATCTTGAATGGATGAAATCCTAAAACATACTTTTAAAAACATTTTTCCATGTAGATTATTTCAAAGGAATACCTATGAAAAGCTCAGAAGAACTTCTGATTCATATACTGTTGTGGCAAAACAACTCTTCTGTAGCTCTTCAGGGTGAAGAACAATGTCCTTCCTCACGTTTAGCAGAGGCTTTTCTTTACCAGACTGTTTGACATTGAAGTATAAGATTCTCCCATTGGGCATGTAGTGCAGTAGAGAGATTTTGGTGTCCTCGTGGTCCTTAATCACTTCTCCTTTTCATTAAATCGTTCTCCATTCAGTTGTAGCTAAAGATTAGAGATGAGCCCTAGTAAAAGTTGGGGAGTAGGGACGGGGAATATCTTCCATAAGTAATGACTCCTGGATAAGGCATCTCTGACACCATGGTGTTCGTAACACCTCCAAATTATTACAGTGCCCAGAACAGCTCACAGCAATAGTTGCATGTCACGGTTGGGGCTCTGATGAAAGTATTTAGTACTCTCACTAAGAAGGACTCAGCCCCTGAAGATGTGTTGTAGCCTACTGCACTGCTATGGCAATTGTAAGATATAACAACTCTGATTTCAGCTGCAATTCTCTGATGCTGTGAAATCTTGTGAAGAGTTTCTCAGCATTCAGTAGTTTCCACCTACTTTTGAACCTGAAAATTGCTGCTAAAAGGACAATTACTACTGGATGTCACTCCATGTAATTTATTTTTTTGCTTTCCTGGGCAGAAAGATTTAATGCATTATGGTTTTGCACTTTTCTTATTTTCACTGGCAACAGGACCCGGGATGATGTTGCTTGAATCCAACAATGTAAGGGCTACAACTAAAGTATATTGTTTATCTTGTTTCCCAGCCTCCTCCTGCCAGGAGATTATGCTTGGCTGTCAAACTGCGTGGCAACAACAGCACCAAAACTTCATAATTAAATGTGAAAAATAAGACATGTTTCATTCCTCTGCTGAGAGGAACATGTGCCAGTGAACGTGTGGTACTCCCCTGCTGACAGAAGGGGTTAAAGGAAATTAGGTGACAGTTTTGGCAAGAGCAGATTTGCAGAAAGTCAACATGTGTTTCCTCCAACAGTATCAATGAACAGATTGAGAAAGGAATAGAATTGTTTACTGGAGTCTGGCTTGCCCAGTCAGAGATCTTCTGTGATGACATTAAATCAGTCTCCACACTCTAATAGTAAGAGAAATTATCTTCTAAAACAGAAATCATAAAGGTCTGTGGGCTGGTTCTTCTCTCAGTCTTGACTCCATGAGTGCACTGCTCTCCATAACATTACTCTTCACTGCTACAACTGAGAGAAGAAGCCCTAGATGTGGGTTTGTTTTTTTGTTTTCTCTCAGATTTGCCCATCAAAGAACTTGGCAGTCCACACCAATCTGCAAAAGTCTGTCTTAATTCTAGCTTTAGCCCTCACTCTTTTCCTTTCACTAAAAATCAGCCATGCCTAGGGTTATTGATCCTCTTAACTCCTCCTTGGTATTGAATCACATCCCCATTTGGCTTCAAACCACTCACAGATCTGGCAAGGAATAGCTGAAAGTTTCTGGGCAACAATACAGCTGATCACTGGTTGTGTATAAAATGAAAGTATGCTCTTGAAGAGAAACTTGCAGGAATTAAGGGAGTGAAAATCACAGGAGCTTGTGACAGCTGTGTGTGCTCTTCTTTTTACAGTCATGATACTCTTCAAGAAAACAGAAGCAAGAAGTGGTCAGGCTATTTTCAACCCTGGGATTCAGATTTCAGTATAGTCTTTTATAGAAAGATGAATTACCTGTAGCATTTGGTTCTACTTCTGAGCCTCAATGACATTGGAATACTAGATTCAATTCTGGCTAATCTCTAAATTCAAACAATGGTTTTATCTCTGTTGTTGTATGACCTATCATAGAATCATAGAATGGCTTGGGTTGGAAGGGACCTTAAAATTCATCTAATTCCACACCCCTGCCATGGGCAGGGACACCTTCCACTAGACCAGGTTGCTCAAAACAGGGATGAATGTTTGGAAAAACCCAATCAGTGAGAAGGAATCACTAATCCCTTTGATAGCTAGGGTCTGCTTTTGAAATGCAAAGCTATTTCAAACATCTCTTTCTAAACAGGTGAGGATCTAGGCCATCTGTTGGGAGAAGGGTGTGAAACAGCACAACTTGGATAGCAACACATCTTCCCTCTGAGGAAGAGCTGTGCATTCTGGAAAGGCACTAAAGATGTTGCTATGAAAGAAAACCAAAAGACAGCCAAACCACTTTCTGCATTCTTACCCTCTCAAATGGATCTATACTTCTCTCTTTGTATGTATTTGGGGCTGGGGGTGCATTAAATTCCTTCCAAAAGCCAGGGTGCTTAGCTGAAAAATAAGACTGTAAGGCAACAGACATACTGAATACATGCTCTTACCATGCATACCTCCGTGCCTCTAATGGAATTGCCCAGGAAACTTGTTTCCCTTGAAAACCTAAGTCCATGGTAAGATCACAGGAAAAAAAATGTATTTGATTAGGATGAGGGAATGCATGCTAAGCTGCATCCTGCCATTTGTAAGGACAGGATCAGCATGGTTGCAGGAAAGGCATCCTAGGGGAGTGGGAGCAGTGGGCAGGGTCAGGCAGCCTTTGCTCCATGGTGCATCTCCTGCAGCCTTGTGGCTCTGTATTGTGAAAGAGGGATTCCTGCATGGCTGTTGGCTTTGTGCTGCATCCTTGGGACAGAGAGAACAGGCTATGGCAGAAATGTTGGCTCCCTGTGAAACAGGACATCAGGTTCAGAGAATCATAGTCTGGTTTGGGTTGGAAGGGACTTTAAAGCTCAACCTGACACGGGCAGGGACACTTTCCACTAGACCAGGTTGCTCCGAGCCCTATCCAACCTGACCTTGAATACTGCTGGGGATGGGGCAGCCACAGCTGCTCTGGGCAACCTGTGCCAGCGCCTCAGCACCCTCACAGGAAAACACTTCTGTCTAATATCTCATCTCGATCTCCCCTCTGTCAGGTTAAAGCCATTCCCCCTTGTCTTGTCACTACAGGCCCTTGTCAAAAGCCCCTCTCCACATTTCTTGTCAGCCCCTTTAGGCACTGGAAGTTGCTCTAAGGTCTCCCCGGAGCCTCTCTTCTCCAGGCTGAACAAGCCCAGCTCTCACAGCCTGTCTCCACGGCAGAGCTGCTCCAGCCCTTTGAGGGCTTTGAGCATCTTTGTGGCCTCCTCTGGCCTTTCTCCAATAGATCCATGTCCCTCTTGTGTGGTCCCCAGATAGACAGCACCGAGGTTGTCAGGAGGAGCCTCAGCTGCGGGAAACTGAAGCCGAGGTTCACAGCAGTGTCCTGACACGCCACGAGCGACCCGTGCCACAGCACCGGAGCGCAGCTACTGAAACGACGACGTTCCACCCCACGCTGCAATCACAGCCGAGTCTCCTCGGGGCCTCGCTGCTCCGGCCTGGACCCAGCAGGTGGGGCCACCGCGGAGGCGCCTTCCCGGCAGGGGGCAGCACCGCCCGGAGACGCAGGGCCGGGCCGGGCCGGGCAGGGCCGGGGCCCCTAGCTCTCGGTGTAGTCCCTCACGCCCCTCGCCACGGCCCCCGGGTGCTGCTGCCGCGGTCAGCACACAGCACCGGGCCGTCGAGACAGCACGGCCCTCGCGAAGGGCTGAACCGGCCTCGGGAGGCTGCTGCCGCCGCGGCGTGACGGGGCAGGTGCCTCGGCTGCGGGATCGCGGAGTGCCGACCCGCTCACTCGGCAGAGGAAATGCGGCCGCAACCGGACACCCCCGGGGGTGTGTGTGTATTGGACACGCTCCTCCCCGCCGCTCGCGGCCGGCCGCCCCGAGTCCCATTGAGGGGGCCGGGCCTGCCCCGGGGAGGCGGTGGCGGTCGGCAGCGAGTGGGGCAGGTCGCGGTGGGCAGCACCCGACCCTCCCCCTGCGAGGGGGTCCCCCTGCTCCACCCCCTGCCCGCTGCTGGCAAGGAGCGGTCGGGGGCATGTATAGGAGTAACAACGCTCGTGATGTCAGCCCGCGCCTAAAATAGAGAGGGATTGACTGCAAATCCACGGCTCGAGGGCTAAAACCTTCCAATCCTGCCTCCGCCAGCGCCGCGCCGGTGTGAAGACACCCCCACCCCGCGCACACACAGACACACGGACAGACACACGCCCCGCGGCGAGGGGAGGGCGCCGGGGACCGCAGCCCAGGTGCCCGCTCCTCCTCCTTTTCCTCCTCTTCCTCCTCCTCTTCTGGCCGGCGGGCACTGCTGGTCTCCGGGGCACGGCGAGCCCGCGGCGGGGCGGGGGAGCGGCGGGGAGCGGAGCTGCCGGATCCTCGCCCTGCGGAGCCCCCAAGGATTACAAGGAATTGCGTGCTCCTTCGCAGCCGCGAGCTAAGGTTATCCCAGAGAGCCAGCCTCCTCCTGCCGAAAATAACCCCTCGGACTCCCGAGAAGACAGGGGGGCTTTCTGGACCATGGCATCGACGGAAGGGTGAGGGCGACTGTCTGCGGGGAGGGAGGTAACGCGAGGGTGGAGGGTGGTCCGGCATTGTGCTTTGGATAACAGTTTCCAGGCATCTGCTTCATTGTTAGTCCTCGTCATTCCCTAACGGAATAATTCAAGGAGCGAGAGGGAAAGAGAAGCGAACTAACCCCATTCAGGAGAGGGAGAAAGAGAGGGAAAAAAAAGAATTTCAAATATGAGCAACTCGAAAGGTTCTGTTTTTCCTCGCACTACTTCTTTATTTAACCCCTGGAGGGCAGATCAAGCTTATACCACCTGCCTGGAAGAAGAAGACAAGTGAATGGTTAACTCAGGTGGAGGCGGAAGCAGCCTCCTAAGTATAATAATAATAATAATAATAATAATAATAATAATAATAATACATAGTTCAGGAAGAACTGGGGAGCTGTTCCCCCACCCGCCCCTCAAGCAGGCAACAAACAAATCCAACTTCTCAAGGAGTTTTGCAATTTTGCAGTTTTGTGCCAAATGCATTACAGTGCTAGCAAGAGAACTGCTGTGAAGGGTGAAGGGTTATACAAGAGGCTTTAAAGAAAAGCAAACACAGTTCAAGCCCTGGTAACGTCCCTGAGAAGGAAACCCTTCTCCCTACCCATGACAAGATCAGTCACTTGGTCACTTTGATGGGGCTGGGGGCTTTTTCAGTTTACTGGGAGTAAGAAAGAAAAGGAAATGTTTCTTTGATCTCTGGCTGCCCTCTTATAATACTCGCTAGTATTAGAGTGCGTTTGGTGTGAGCCTCCGCCTTATCCCTGGATGTTGTCAGGTTGTATCAGCATGATCTGCTCTGGATAGGACTCTCTGAGGGCAGAGGGCAGAAGGAAGCTCTGTTTATGTTGCTTCTCTGTCTCTTGCGCTGAAAGACTTGCTGAGCTGATTTAAAGAACCTGGCGTGTGTCTGTGAGGGTGTGCGCAAGTGTCCCATTACCTGGACTAAGGAAGGAGCTGGCTCTCTGCGGAGAGGCTGTTGAGCAGTTGGCTTGGCAGGAGTGGAAGGCTGTAAAGTGTAAGCTTTGGCTGCTAAGGAGAAGGACAATGCCCAGGTGTGGCAGAGGGCAGATCTGTGGGGCCCTTCTGGCTCTTCAGAGGGCTGGGATAAAGGGAACCAGCTTATTGTTTGCTGCTGCTGCTTTGTCTTTGTGGGAATTTCTGCTCCAAGTCTGTACGCCCTTGTTTAATAGCAGCCTAGCAGTTTAATCTGCCCTGTAGCATTTCCTCTCACAACAAAAATCACTTAACTAGGTACAGTCAACAAATACTGACAGCCACAAAGAAGAAGCTTGGAGATGGAGGAGCCAGCCTGCATCCATAGGGTTGCAGCTCAGTCTTCTCTGTCCCTGCTGTATCCTTGGTCTACCCCGATTTTCACTCCCCACTGGTGCTCTGGTCACAGAAGGTGGCTGTAGATGTCTCTGCTTGTTTCAGACCAGTGGGGAAATGTGGCACCTGTTGTGCAGGGGTTTAATAAGAGGAGATATGACAAGAGGTGGCTGTGTTTGTGGGATTGTCAGCTTTGGATGAAAAGAAGTTTTAAATGGTTGTAGAAAGAGAGGTTGTTGTAAATGAAGCAGGCTGAACAGGTGGGCTAAAAAACAAGGGCTTCCGCAGATGTACACCTTTCCTTTCCTTAATGGACAGAGCTAAATTGTCAGGATGAGAAAAGAAACAATAAGTTTAGGCTTTGCTTTCAAACATTTTAGGAAACTTATGGAGTCTAAGACAAGCTGAAACTATTTATTTGGTATGATTCAACTAGTGCTCAGCAATAGCTGAAGGAGGTGTGGAGAAGTTGAGTGGGAAGCTTTTCACTTGCCAGTCCCTTTTTGCCAGTGAGAGCCTCTTCCAAAACTGAACTGTTATCTTTCCTTCCCCTCAGGTAAAATGCTGAGGATGGAGATAAGCTTCACACTCTGTCCTAAAGGTCAGCAAACTCAGGCACTATATGGATCCTCAGGGAAAGTGATACTGACCAGACCTGTTCCAGAAAGGCTTTCCACCAGCACTGGCACAATGGAAAAGAGGTAGCAGAAAGTGCCCGCTGCTGCAAGCAGGGCAGTATGTCTCAGACACGCACAGGTACATGGAGAAAGACCTGCTGGAGGTGGGAACACAGCGTTCTCACTCCAGGTTTATCTCTAGTGGCTGTTAGGCTGTTCAAGGTTACTCCCCGTTAGCAGAGATCCAGAGTATATAGAGGCTTTATTTTGTTGTGATAGAACTACTCCAGCCACTTTTGAAGTGTGTTATTTCTCTTCTAACAGGGGAGCTTACATAAAATCCCTAAAGTGGGGATGTTGGGATGTGACAGGATACCTGGCAAAAAGCAAAAGGCCCTGATGTGTACATAGAGGGAGGCAAATCCATATGCCATGGTAAAGAAGCAGTGGTCACTTAGAGCCAGAATTTGCTAGGAAAGATTTCCTTGTCTGCACCTCTGCAGTGTTGTTTTTTTTTTTTTTAAATTTCAGTGTCTTGTTTGGTGAAGCTTATCCACGTATGGAAATTTGCTGCCCAAATCTTTCTGTTCCAGGAGGATGGTGGACAACAGGAAGCTTCAATTGGTTGACAATTAGAAAAGAAATGTCCCCAACATGGCAAAATCAGACCCATGTGTCCTCTGGGTCTACCTTGCCATAGTTCCAGCTAGTGGGGCTTTGGCTTACTGTTGAATACATTGTATCTTGACTGTTAAGTCTTCCCTTATCAAAATCCGTGGATACAGATCTCATTACCAAGATGGATTTTTGGTGGTTAACTGGTGCTGGAAACAGAAAACAGCTGGTTCAAGGAGGAAGGACTAGAGCTGGGTATTGACACTGTTGAGGGTTGCTTGGTTTTATGTACTCTGTTTAAACGTCCTCTGCTGGCCATGACTGCAGGCACTGTGGTGCTGCTAGGAGAAGTGGCCTTCTGATCTATGCTAGCATTGCTTTTCCTGAGTCCTTAACTTGGTTCTAAGATGCAGTGACATCAGTTCATAATCACGGATTGTGGTGCTGGTGTAGTTCTCAGTATGTGGTGGGTTCAACCTGTGGAGACTTACCATAGCGGAGCATTTTAACATTTCCTTTGCTTTTATGGGGTCTGAGAGGACCTAAAGGTTAAATGAGGTGGACTCTGATCCAATTTATGCCCATGCTTGGCTTCAGGCTTTGAGTTAAGTCCTGAACACCTTGCTTCACATGGTTTGTTATGGCACTCGTCTCTCTTTAATGTCACTGTTCCAAAAGAGAAAGGATGAAACACCTTGCTACTGTTAAAAACCTACCAAACAACCCATTTTTGTATAACCTAGAGATAGGTTTTACATGTGAAATCAGAATGTGACTTTGTAACTCAGATATTAAAACCTTGAGTATTTAAATTATTTATGTGATTTTACCTGTTTGAGTGATGCTGATTGAGGTGCTCTAAAAGTCTACAGGTGGTGTTTATATTTTGTATACTATTGAAGAGTGGGAATTTCAGGTGTGATGTTTGGGTTTGGGTCTGTTCCTTAAAGAATATAGCCACTAGGAGACACTATCACTACATTTTTAGCAGTAAATTAAACACAGGCAGAGCAGGTGTGTCTGAGCCAGGAGCTCAACCCTCTGCCTGCAGGTGAGCCTTGGAGCAGTCCCACCATGGCTTTGGCCAGGTAGCCTTCTCCCAGTTCACAGGCATTGTTAGGAAGCTACAGAGATTCCTGTCTGCATATTTGACTTTATCAGTATCTCATTAACAAGAAACAAACAAACAATGCTGTGGTCCATTCCTCCTTTCCAAACTCGATTGTTCCTACATTCTGTAGGTACTCTCTCTCTTCATCCTAAGTTTCACTGTCTCTGACGCTATATATCATGGGTATGGTTTGTCTGTACTACCTGATCAGCAAATGAGTTTTGTCCACATCAGGGAGAATATGATTTGATTTCTCTAAAATTAGACACAGCATGTGGCGTGGAATGTACACAGGTTTTATGCTGGCTGTGGAAAAATGATTATCAGTCAATTAAAGTTTATGCAGGAGGCACAAATAATACATACTTGGCATCCAGCCCCGTGGATGTGAAGTTGACCTGTCAACATTTCTTTAACAAAGTTGAACCTTAAGAATTAATTTATTATACAGGATTAGTGTTTTAGTCATGTGGCTGTGGTGGGTTTAGATCTTGGAGCAGGAGTCCTAAAGCCGTTTGCCAAGCCTAAAGCTGCATCGTCAAAACAAATCCTGGAAGGGAGATTGGCAGCCTGTATTGTATGCCTAGCCCAGAGACAGCAGGACACACCTAGGTGAATCAGAAAGGCTAGCTTAGCATTTCATGGGAGGGTTCAGGCACCTGCATAGGAGAGTGGGCTTTCAGGATCTGCCACAATATGTACAATAAGCACAGATTTCTTGTAATCTGAGTTCTTACTCTGTAATTTACTCACAAAATTCCTCTAAATAGAAATCTGATGAAATGTGCTGGTGCAAATGTTTAGATACTTCAGAGGATGAAATCCTCTAATTGCTGTTACTTTTATGCAGGATTTGTTACTTTTATGCCGCACCGACTCGGGATGGAGATGTTTTATCCTATGCTCTTTCTTCAGCATTTTGTGGGACAGATGGAGTGGATGTAGCCTATTAATTAGACATATCAGCTGGGGCTGTGACCTCATTTCACTGTTGTCCATTGCAAATCCCTCACTGATTTCAATAAAATAGAATTTAAGCTCTACAGAAGATAATTTATGTTCCTTAGAATGCATCTGGTGACATAATAGTTCTCATAGCCCCAAACTTCAGTTTGGCCTTGAAAACTTTGCACTTTCAAAAGGAAAGTGCATTAACTTGATTTTTCTACATATCCAGATTCTTATGTAGATGCACAAGGAATAAAATACTCCTTAGAAAGTCTACAGGGGTTTGGTAATTCTGAACTTTCTGGAAATAGCATATTGGATTAGAATCACAGAATGGTTTGTGCTTCTTCCTAAAA